TTTTTAGTAGAGACGGGGTTTCACCATGTTGACCAGGATGGTCTTGATCTCTTGACCTCGTGATCCACCCACCTCGGCCTCCCAAAGTGCTGGGATTACAGGCTAGAGCTACCGCGCCCGGCCCAGAAACAATTTATATAATTTTTGTACATAATTGTAAATGTGTCCTTTTTTTACTTAATAAGGAAAATGAAAAAAAAAATCACGTATGTCTTGTTGAAAAGTTGTGTTGTTGAAGAAAAACATCCAGAATATCTGTGTCTCCTAAATGTATTAAGTTAAATAATTTGAAGATTGCTTTTTGTGTTTGTTATCTCTTTAAATATGACATTACTAAATATTTCACAAGTATATGATTAACTTTTTGAATTCACAGTAGTTATTCTACTTTTTAGTGATGTCAAAAAATTCTGCTTCAGTAAGATTGGTATTTAAAATATATTTAGAGTATTTTAGGGTCAATAATTACAAAACAAATTTGAAGATTTATAAAAATTGTGTGAATTGAGGTTTAAGGTTTTTTAAACTTTTATAATGTCTAAAAATGAAAACTATTGTTTGAGGGAAGAGGTATATAGAAGGTTTTACTAATTTAAAGTGTTCTTATATAGAGATAATCACGTATTTACTAGTATTTGACTACTGTATAAATGGTGGACAGTAAGTGCACTAATCACAGGATGCTGTGATTGGTTTGTGTATTTTAAGGGAACAGGAACGATAATTTGAACTGTCTCAAAAGATTTTAACATTAGTTTGCAGATGGCGTTATGTTAGGTTTCTGCGTTTTTGTAGTTCCGGGATTTTGATAACAGTTTCTTGGCTGTTATAGGTATTTTAGTAGTCATACATTGCATAAAGTGACCCAGCAGAAGCACGTAGAACTCAAATGTTCTCTTTTTGTTTCTGATGTTATTTTGTGTTGCTTATAATGAAAACTTTCCATTGTATGGCTTCTGTGATATCTAATGTATAGAGAAAAGAGTTACAAGTTTTTAATTCTTAACATTTTTTTTTAGATTATCTGCAATTATGAAATGAAGTAACTCAAGATGAGCAAGTTAAAAGTCATACCAGAGAAAAGGTACTGTAATATCAATCTAAATATCAATATGCATAAGTTACAGAAGTAATATATGATGCAATTATTTGAAAGTCAATACTTGACAAAATATTATTTGTGTTTAAGTATAGTATGTTATATTTATATAATTAAAAATGTTTATTAATGTTTAATTTTTCAGCTAAAATAGGAGTTAGCAAACTATGAACACCTCCTGTTTTTGTATGGCCTGTGAGCTCAGAACGGTTTTATATATATGTATATATACATATATATATATATTTTTTTTTTTTGAGACAGCGTTTCACTCTTTTTGCCCAGGCTAGAGTGCAATGACACAATCTTGACTCACTGCAACCTCTGCCTCCTGGGTTCAAGCGATTCTCCTGCCTTAGCCTTTCGAGTAGCTGGGATTATAGGCACCTACCACCACACTCTGTTAATTTTTTGTATTTTTAGTAGAGATGGGGTTTTACCATGTTTTCCAGGCTGGTCTGGAACTCCTGACCTCAGGTGATCCACCTGTTTTGGCCTCCCAAAGTGCTGGGATTATAGGCATGAGCTACCATGCCTAGCCGGTTTTTACATTTTTAAAGGGTTAAAAAAAATAGTATTTTGTGATGCATGAACATTATATGTAATTTGCATTTCAACATCTATAAATAAAGTTTTTTTTGGGAACACAGCCATGCTAATTCATTTACATATTGTCTGTGGCCACTTTTTCACTAAAATGGCAAACTTGAGTAGTTATGACAGGGACTGCATAGCCCACAGTGTCTAAAATTTATTCTATTTGGCCCTTTACAGATAAAGTTTAGGCCAGGCATGGTGGCTCATGCCTGTAATCCCAGCTCTTTGGGAGGCTGAAGCAGGTGGATCACGAGGTCAGAAGTTCAGGACCAGCCTGGCCAACATAGTGAAACCCTGTCTCTACTAAAAATACAAAAATAGCTGGGTGTGGTGGTTGGCACCTGTAGTTCCAGCTACTTGGGAGGCTGAGGCAGGAGAATTGCTTGAACCTGGGAGTGGGAGGTTGCAGTGAGCCGAGATTGTGCCACTGCACTCCAGCCTGGGCTACGCAGCGAGATTCTGTCTCAAAAAAAAAAAAAGAATATGTTTAACTGATTCCTGAGTTAAAGCACACTATATCATCTCTGTTAAAGTTCTTAAATACCAAGAAATTGTCTTAATGTTGGTTTTGTTTATTTCAGTTGAAAGACAAATCTGATTGATTATATATTGAAATTGTCTTGGCTATACAGCCATGAACAGATTATATAACTTTGTGAAGCCTCAGTTTTCTCATCTGAAAATTTATTACAATGATTTTAATGATACAATTATTTTAATGATAATGCTGTTATTATAAGACTGAGAAGATTAGATAGTATTTGGTTCAGTAATTGACAGTGTATTAATATTGGTAATAATGAAAGTTTCTGCTTTGTAGCAATGTTCTTATGTTTACATGTAAATAACTTTACATTTATAGGTATGCTTTAAATCTGTTTTATAATGAATAGTGTACACACAGTTTATTTAGGTGAGATTTATTCCTAGGTTTTTGCAGTTATTAACTCTGTAATACATCATACCAAATTTCATTTTAATCATGTACTTGTGTAATTTCTATAGGAAAGGAATTAGGCATTATTTGTATTTTTAAAATGATCCAAAAGCCTTACTTTTTGCATCAGGTCAAACAAATAATGCTATTTTTATAGATTAGCTAAACTGTCTAGCTAATTACTAGATCATTGTCCATAAAAATGTGAAATTACTTTTAGTTTGAAAGCCTCTGGCTACTAAGGCCATTTTAAATTTTTTCTTCTGAATTATATTTTATTGGATATTTCTTTTTGTTGTTGTTGTAGGGTAACTAAATTGGGATCACTGTAAATGGTCCTCATCTAAAGGAAATTATAATTTCTAGCAAAACTTGTCATACTGCTCTGTGAAGAAAGCTGAATGCAATAAGGCAAATTGAAATAGAAAAGGGTCAAAGCTCCCTTCCCATAGTATGGCATATTGAGACTGTGCCAGAGAACTTACAAGAATGCCTTCCAAGGGTTTGAGAAGGGGGGAGAAATAATACTTCCAGGTTTTGTTTTGGATTTTTTTCTTTCCTCAAATTTGATGAGAGCTCACCAATTTTTAGAGAAAATCTTTTGTATACTTTCCATGTCTCTAGAGGCTTCTGTAGATACTCTATTGGATTTCTTTCTTTTTTTCTTTGCCTCTTTTTGATTTATGTCTCAACTATGAAATACTTTTATGTACCCAGCTTGGTACTAATCTGTGAAACTGGAAAAGAAGCATGAGTATAACACTTAATACAGTGTATTGAAGAAAATGAGTACTGAATTCACGTTCTGAAAAAAGAGCCCATTCTCTTTTTACACAAAACCTGTAAGCTGATAAAGAATATCTGAACAAATGCAGTATGAGAGACTTAACCAGTAAATAGTGAAGTGTCAAATTTTGAGGTATACACAGTTAGAAAATAAGGTACGCATAAACAGGGGTTTATTGTGTGATAGGGACTTGAAGAGGCAAGGGTGGCTTGAGGGTTGGTGGAGTATTCAGAGTTACTGAATTTAAACAAGGATTCTGCCGGGCGCGGTGGCTCAAGCCTGTAATCCCAGCACTGTGGGAGGCCAAGGCAGGTGGATCACGAGGTCAAAAGATCGAGACCATCCTGGTCAACATGGTGAAACCCCGTCTCTACTAAAAATACAAAAACATTAGCTGGGCATGGTGGCGCGTGCCTGTAATCCCAGTGACTCAGGAGGCTGGGGCAGGAGAATTGCCTGAACCCGGGAGGCGGAGGTTGCGGTGAGCCAAGACGGCGCCATTGCACTCCAGCCTGGGTAACAAGAGCGAAACTCCGTCTCAAAAAAAAAAAATAAATAAAATAAACAAGGATTCCAATTAGATAGATTAGACTGGCAGATTTAAAGACCATGGTAATAGGTGGTAATTTAAATCAAAGAAGCACATCTGGTAAAATATAAGAAGCAGAAATTTTGCGTACAGCTCACTCTCTACCATTATGGTCATGCCCTAAATCTTATCACTAGAAAAACTGTAATTTCAAAATACTAATTTATACTTTTAATTATCCAACTATAATCTTTTACCTTTCTAGCTCACTTGCTCAAGTATCTGATCTCTAAGAGTTCTACCTCACCCAGAGCTCTAATCTGTTGACTTTTATTTTCTCTCATTCATCTCTTCCTCCTCCTTTTTTATTAGTATAGAATCTGTTGTCCATGATTATATATTCTTGCAGATACCTGAGATGTCTTTATCTTGCTTTAAATTTTTCCATCACACCCAAGGTACAAAGCTCTTACTCTGCATAACCTTTATTGAGCAACTGAATGACATTGGAGGATAAATTCATTTTGTAGATATCACTAAAAAAATGGTGACAGTGGATGTCCTTGTCTTTTTTTTTTGTCTTGTTTTCTGATCATAGGAGAAAAGCATTTATTCTTTTATCTTTAAGCATTTTGTTAGCTATGGGTTTCTGTAGATGCTTTTTATCAGGTTGAAAAAATTCTCTTATATTCTAGTATGCTGAGAATTTTTTGTCCAGTATGAATGTTTGAGTTTATGAAATGCTTTTTCTTTCTGTTGAGATGGCTGCAAGGTTTGTCTCTCTTAGTTTATTAATAGTTGAATTATATTGAATGATGTTCGAATATTAAACCAACCTTGCATTCCTGTGATTGACCTTACTTGGTCATGATACATTATTATTATCTTTTTCATATATTGTTGGATTTGATTTGCTAAAGGGTTGTTTAGAACTTCTGTATCTATGTTCACGAAGCATATTAGGCTGCTTTTTCCATTTCTTTTAATGTTTTTTATCTGGTTTTGGTATTAAGTACTAGCCACATAGGATTTTGAAATCAGGAAGGATTTTCTCCTTTTCAGTTTTTTTGGAAGAGTTTGTATAAAATTGATATTTTTTTTTATATGCTTGGTAATATTCGTCAGTTAAGGCACCTTAGCTTGGAATTTTCTTTGTGGCACGTTTTTAAAGTATAAATTCACTTTCTTTAATAGATACAGATAGTACTATTTAGATTTTCTATTTCTTATTGAGTGAGTTTTGGTAATTTGTGCCTATGGTAAGCTGAATAATGATCCCCTAGGAGATATCTGTGCCTTAATCCCAGGAACTAGTGAATATGTTGTATTACTTGGTAAAAGGGACTTTGTAGATATGAGTAAATTGAGCATCTTGATATGGAGAGATGATCCTACATTATCTGTGTGGGCCCAGTGTAATCATAAGGGTCTTTATTAAGGGGAAGGCAGGAGGATCAACGTCATTTGTAGGAGATGTGATGATGGAAGCAAAAGGGTTACGTAAAAAAGAGGCTGTGAGTCAAGGAATCCTAGAAACTAGAAAAGGCAAGGAAATGGATTCTCCCCCAGGGCCCCCAGAAAAACCATTTCTTCTTACACCTTGATTTTAGTCCAGTGAAACTGATTTTGGATCTCCAGCCTGTAATATGATAGTAAGTTCATGTTGTTTTTAAGCAGTGAGTTTAATGGTAATTGATTACAGTAGCAGTAGGAAATGAATACTTTCCTATGAAAGTATTAGGAAGCTAATGTCTTTCAGGGAATTTGTTCATTTCTTCTATGTTGTCTAATTTATAGGCATAAAGCTGTTGAAGTATTCTTTTATCTTTTTACTGTTTAGCATCTCTATAGTAATGTTGCTTTTCCATTCCTATCAACCTGCTTGGAAATTTATCATTTCTACTGATTCTCAAAGTACAGCTTTTGGTTTCATTGATTTTGCTGTGGTTTTGCATGTTTCTTTGATTTCTGTTTTGGTTTTTATTTCCTGACTTGTGCTTACTTTTGAGTTTCATGTGCTCCTTTTTTCTTATCTTTTACATTGAAAACTAAGGTCATTGATTTGAGACATTTCTGTTCTACTGTGGACATTTATTGCTATAAATTTCCTGCTAAATACTGTTTTAGTGATATCC